ATCTCAGTTTGAAGAGAGAAATTAAAGTCGTCTGTGCTCCTGGAACCTTTTCCTACAGTAGAAACTCGTCTCAGCTCCTGTGTTTATTAATTAACTGCTAGGTTTTGTTTTTTTTGATCCTGAATAAACATGTTGATGTGAAAGAGGATCTGACTCTTTGGAATATTTTATATGTAAAGTGTAATGCTCCCAGAAAAAAAACAGTAATAATTTGAGGAAAATGTTATATTTTGGGAATAAAAATAGAACATCTACGAGAAAAGTCACAATATTCTGAGAAAACTTCCTTTCACCCAGCCCTCTCGTTTCTGACACTGTGGCCACGTCGTGCCCTCTGGTGGTTCCCTGGAGCACTGAGTGTGTCACCAAACGAGAGGGAAGGACACCAACATCAAAAATAAACAAGCTAACAAACATTTAAATTGGTTCAACAGTTTTTTTCCAGCTCACCGCAGAGGTTTGACTTTATTGCACAGTACAAGGACACAAAATTTCATCTCCAAAATATTTCAGTTACAAAATCAAATATTACACCTGAATCACGTTCTACAAAATCTCTAACCCCCCCTTTCCCGACTTTGTCAGGCAGCAGGTTGGTGTTAAGACCAGTAGAGTCTGTGTAGGGTTGAGTTAGCTCCGAGGATGGAGGGGAACTAAACCAAGCTTTCAGTGAACACAGCGAGCTCTGACCTGACACTGGACTTCTCTACACACTAAAAACGACTCAGCCACAGTAACTGATTTGGAGCAACAACTTAAAACACTAAATAACTAAATAGCTGTAAATATTTATTTTTGGATGAACTCTCCCAGTCCAGCTTTGTTTACAATTAACCAATTAAATAGTTGCCGGTGATTCTTCTATCAACTTAGCGAATCAGTTAATTGCTGCAGTGCTATTTTAGGATGTCCTGTAAGACCTACATCCAGCTTGTCTAAACCTGATCAGTGTCAGACCTGGTAACATCAGCAGTGAAATGAGACTCGATCGACTTTCATTTCTGTTCGAACACTGACTGAAGAGGCTTTAGTCGTCTTTTCCGAGTCTTCTGATTTATTGGGATGGGGCTTCATGCAGGACTGCTGGTGCTGGTTAACCCCAAGATAAACTTCTTAGTTTAAGCCAAGTTTGAATAATTTCATTAACTGTGACTTCAGTTTGAATGGGGTCCTCAGATGGTGTCGTATGAAAACAGGGTTTTCAACTGCTGCTCTGCTGAGGAAAAGTTACACTGCCTGGTTTTGTTGCAGCGCCCAGCAATGCATTAAATGTCCAAATGTTCCTCCCAACAAGAATTGGTGAGGATTAAAAATAGGAATGTTTGGGTGTGGGGTTGTCAGCGTCTGGTGGTTTCGGGTTTCAGTAACAAACAAACATGGGGGTTAGGATTACATCCACACAGACCCTTCAGGGAAATGTCACCTGGCAGAGACTCTACACACACGATAGGCTGCAGGATTCAAGGCGGATCTTTCCTTTAATGTATGTTTGCTTCCGACTTATCCAGAAATGCACCTGAGCAGCTAGCACTCCAGTGGCTTCCTCCTGTGTGCTGGTTCCCCAGACTCAAGTCTTGGTATAGTACATTAGCAGACGGTGGCGGCCTGCAGGGTCATGAGGAGGAAGGGGAGGTGGGTGGAGCCTTGTCTCAGATGTAGAACTGGTGAGCAGCCAGGTTGTCCATGAAGGGCTGAACCAGGAAGTCTGTGGAGAAGTAGAAGACGAGGCCGAAGGTGATGGAGATGGGCAGCGCCGGCAGAGCTTTCTTGAAGATGGCCAGGAGCAGCAGAGTCAAGCACAGGCCCTGAGACAGGTACAGACAGGTGAGGCACAGGTGGATTGTGGGACACAGCACTTCACACATACACAGATGCAGATTCTGGGAAGCTTAGGTTGTAGATTTTATGGAAGGTCTTCAGAACACTGCGATTTGTTTGCAGACATTTTCAAATGCAGCTTGAAATTCGGTCGCTGCAGATTTATAAAGTGCCTTCAGACTCTGGGGATTTGTTTTTTGTTAAATCTGGGGGTGCATCTTTAGGTTTTAGGGAGTTCAAGTAGTTTGTACAGTGGATTTTAGAAAGTATGTTCAGATTTTACTGAGCTGCAGAAGCAGATTTCTAGCAGAGTTTTGATTGGGCGCTGTACTTTTTTTCTGAATTTGGGGGATTTTTTTTGTGTAGTTTTCCAGAGAGTTGATGTAAATTTTCTACAGATATTAGAGATTTGTCTAAATCTGGTGATGTGTCTTTACATGTGAGATGCTGCACTGCAGACTGTGTCGCTAACTTGGTGGAGGGTTTCAGATTTGGGGGAATTTTCATAAAGTTGTGTAGACTGGAGTAAGTGTCTGGGGAGCTGCTGGTGTAGATTAGAGGACACTTACTTAGATATTGGAAATCTGCAGTCAATTTTATGTGTGTTTATGGACGTATCAAGGAGAACGGTGCAGATTAAAGCTGTTCACCTGGTAGCGCCCCTCATAAAACCTCCATGGTTCATGTCAGTCGGTATAATGTAAAGTACATTTTAAGGTTATTCACTCTTTAAATACCGCTCGGTAACATCAACACCGTTACAAACTACTGTTGAACTTCTGGGCCTTAAGTTCGCTTCATCTATGTGCTAGTTTTAGCTCAGAGTGGCATCAGTCAGGCTGGTGGTGCGACGGTAAAGCTTCCTTCAGTATCCCTGGACAAGCAGATTGAAGGATGTGAAACCTGGCTCTGGCTATAAACTGGAAGAAAACATTACACGTAGTGTTGAACTGTACCGTGTTTTCTCTGCTGTTCGTACTGCACATGCTAAATAAGCAGTAATACAGCCAACCAGTGAAACCACTGAAAACCTTAAACAGCCATGATGCTTTTGTTTGAACTTGTCACCGTGCTGGAAGTGATGCTGGTCATTCTGTCACCATGAAGCCAGAAGAACTGAATTACTGCACCAGTCAGAGGAATTAGCAGAAATCAGACGTCCTTTCCTGTTTTCTCCTCAAACCATCTGTGATCTCAGGCAGTGTCAGCAGAGCAACGACAGCTCAGTTTTCCTGAGTCTAAATGTGCACAGACAACACATTTACTATCCAAATTATAATAAAGGAACTATCTATGTACGTTTCCCTTCAGCCGTTTTACAGGCATCTGAGCTTGACTCCAGTTTGTAACTGCACTGTTCAGGCTGTACACATCATGTCGTCTGTATCACCCTTGGTGCGGGTCTGGTGGCCCTTGGTGGCCCTTGGTGGCCCTTGGTGGCCCTCTGAAAATGGAGGAAATAGAAGGCCCAGTGGCCTTGCGCTTCAAATTATGACATTTATGGCCAAGTCTCGTGTTTCTTTTTTTAAAGTATTCCTTCTGGTACCGTTTAGGCACAGTATCGGAAAAAAGCCAAAGGACACCCAGCCCTACTTCCGATGTGGGAAGTTCCCATCGAGGATTTTGGAATTGCTGGAGTAGAGTATGAAAAGCTTTGGTTTAATCCTGGGGGTTGCTCATTTAGACTTTTAGGATGCTGCTGCAGATGTCAGAAAACAAACCGACCTCACTGTGTCAGCGTCTCCATCATGGAGACAACGTGTTGTGTAAAAGCAG